GGCTTCCAGCCCTGCAGTGACTGTTAGTTTGCCATCTGTGTGACCTCAGGCAAATCCCTTGGTCTCAGGTCCTTCAAGTTTCCCAATTACAAAATGGCAATTGAGGATAACAGAATGTTTCTCTGAGTTTGTCTGTGAGCAAACCAAAAAGCGCTGTAGATGTGGGAGAGGCAGACTGACCTTTCGGGCAGAGCAAAGACATTAGAGTAAGATAGTACCCATTGAATCTGACTATACCTATGGACAGCCAGAAAGCCAACATGAGCCCCTTCACCTTTCTGAGCTTACTTATTTTTAAAACTGGAATAATGACATTCACTTCATAGAGTTGTTGCAATATTATAAAAGAAGTAGGAGGACTGACATGTAGTAGATAGAACACAAATACTATAGTATGCTCTAAGACATCTTCAGAGAACAGTAATACTGCACAGACCTTCTGTGCAGACTGAGGGGAACTCATAGGATGGCAGGATCAACTGACCTCATTAGGGAGCCAGGCAGGAATTAGTTTCTGTGCCCCCCAAACACAATAGCTTCACAGTGATAGGCAAATTATTTTTACTGAGTGCCTTCCTTGTGCCAGGTGCTGGCTTTGGATAAGAAAGAGTCTTCCTCGTCTGCCGTACCTTGCTTTGAGTGCCAGGCATGATTCTTTTTTTTTTTTTTCTTTCCATTCCAGTGGTACATTTAGCCAGATATCCCCGCCCCAGAGGCCATTAGCACATATTAAGTGTGTGTGCAAAACACCTGATAATTGCGCTTAAGAACAGAGAAATGAACACAAACACTGCTTTCATTCTGCGCTGAGTACCTTCACCACTTCATTCTGCACTAATACCGCAAATGAAAGAGGCAGCCATTAGATTAGTAAACGAATTAATAGACTGAAAAAAGAAGAGAGGCAGAATATTCTTCAGGATTTCTGGGCTTTCAGGGGGGCTAGGAAATATCTGAAATTGGGTTTTATGTATGTATAAAATTATCTTTTTTTCATTGAATGTAGGCAATAGATGGGTGAAATTATACATTTTTCTAGGGAGAGTTTCTATATCACTTTTCATATCCTTAAAGGGATGAAGATCTAAAAATTGCAGCCCACTAATCTACTGAGTTGTTATTTCTTTTTAGACAGGAGGAGGTTGAAATAATTAGCTTTACCATAATATGCAAGAAAGAAAATGTCTCTCATTAGCCTTTAACAGCTTGAAAGGGTACAAACTTTGAAGACTTTACCGATGTACATTTTCAATTAATGTTGAGTAAATTTGCATTTTGTAAATGTGATCAAATGTGTATGACTCTATATTAAAAACTTTTCTATGCTCTGGCGGAAAGCACAAAGCCAGTGCATGGGGTTAACACTGGCAATCCTGAGTCAACTCTCTATTTGTTTTAGAGATAGCTCTGCAGTGCACAGAAATTAATAAGTGATTTTCTTGGCGACAGCCTGAGGCAACTGAATGATTGCTTAAGTCGAAGTCATATGCAGCATGGAAAAGAGCAAATGATTTTCAGAAAGGGAGTCTATGGTGGTGGAGGAGGGAATAATGCTATGGGGAAGCATCTAATGGGAATTCTCATATTTTAGTCATTAACCTAGAACTGGGATGTCATCATTTTGTCAGAAAGAGGAAGTAAAAATCCCAAAGGCCACAGGAGTCTTGAATGCCAAATTGGAATCAAAGTTTGAAATGGGCTTGTCCTCCCCATGGGGGTACCCTGTGTTCTTTCCCCACCCTGCCATTAAGCATTCCACATGGAGAGCACACTTGCAAATGCTGGGCCTGGCCTTAAATGACTTGCAGGCTTAGGGGAGCCCACCCTGCCTTCCTCTCTTTTGCCAGAGAATCTCTTTTAGCTGGAATTCCAGCCTCTGAGGCTCCTGGAGAGTGAGAAGCAGGAAGGGCGAGCAGGGGAAATTATTTGAAGTTTGGTATCTGTTGATGGCAATCACTTCTTTTCCTCCAACCTCCTCACTCTGTAGTGTGAGATAGAGACTGTAAGTCAAATAGACCTAGATACAAATGCAAATTTCTCATTCATAAAGTAGGGCTAGTAATGACTACCTCACAGGGTGGCTGAAAGGCATACTACTTATGCAAAGCCCAGATTGCACAGTAGGTACACAACAAAAGTTAGGATCAAAATATTGTTATCCTGTGGGCAAGAAGCAGTCTATCCACGCACAAATTGTTTCTTGGATTTGGAGTTCCATTCTTGATGGCTCTCTTATGCCCCTAGTGGCCTTTATAGAAATTCCTGGGAACCTATCTTTACCCGTTTTGGGGGGTTATTGACACACTAAGGACATTGTACATATGGACTAATTATACATATGGAGCTATTTTGAAGTAAATATTTACCTTTTGGGGTGTTAAATCCTGCCAAGCCAGATTTCCATCCTAATGACCATTAGCCAAGAAACTTTTATGGACTCTGCATCTGTAGGAATTCTGATCAGTCCCAGGACCGAAAGAAGACTTGGAGATTCCAGTGGTACCTTGTCAAGGGAATCACTAAGTAAGTAGCAATGGTCTATGGTTGGGAATGTCATGGTGCTGTAAACTCTCTTTAAAGCATATAGGGCAGTAGGAAGTGGATGACTGCAGTAGCCTGCCTGTGATTTTCCTTCACATCCTGTTGCTTTGTAGTCCATTCCCTGCATAGCAGCCAATGTGAGCACAAAAGGCAGCAGAGCACCACGGACTGTTGGAGGGTGAACTGTAGAGTCAGTTGGAATCCAAGTTCTGAATCTTACTAGCTGTAAGAACTTGTGTATATGTTATTTAACTTCGTCTGCCTCCATCATTCCATGTAGGATAATAGAAGTACCTGCCTCATAGGGTCGTTTTGTAGATTAAGTGAGGGAACCTATGTAAGCCCCAGAATGGCGCTTGATTCACAGAAGAGCTCATTGATATTAGCAATTATTATTATTTTGCCAGGCATTTGTTTAAGCTACTTCATTGACTGAAGACCAAATTTTTAGTAGGGCTGTTAAGCCCCTGCAAGACCAACCCTCTCTCTGCCTTTCCAACTTTGTCCTGAGCTCCTCGCCTGTGGTCTTCTTGTATTTGTTTGTAATTTTTTTTCTTTTTGTCCTTGGAAAGTACTACCTTTGGAGCTCTTTTCTGTCTGTGCATTTTCTTCCCAACTCACCTCCCCAGTTGCTCGGTAACATAAGCCACTTCTCAGCTGAGGCCTGCTTGGACGCCAGCAGGGAACCAGGGCTCCCTGTCATGAGCTCACAAAGTAGCCTCTTCTTTCTCTTCATGGCATTTATCACCACTTGTAATTATACACTGTGTCTTTATCTGAGTAGAACCTGTTTCTTCCAGTAATCTGTGAGCTCTGCAGGAGCAGGGGCAGCATTCATTTGCTTGCCCTTGTTTCCTGTGCCTGGCCTAGGATTCAGCACCATCTGTAAGCTAGGTAGTATTTGGGGAGTGAGTGGTTGAGCATTTACTTTCTGAAGCACTAACAATCACATTCATTCTACTTAGGTTCTGTATCATTTTTTAGAACTGTTTCCATGTCATTAACTAAAACAATTATAGTCCATCCCCAAATCCATAGAGTGATTTATGCCGCTTTTAATTAGGACCAACACTAAGGCAGCTTGGCTGAAGCCTAAAATAACCCCCTCATCCCTGTGAAGTGTTTTCCCTGAAGAATCAGAGGGCATTGTTCATCTCTACCTTTTCTAGTTGATACTTTTGTTTGAAGTAAGTGGGAAATAATGATATCCAGGGGGTACTGTCTCAAAATACAGATATGTAGGTAAAAAGTCCAAACTCTGTGCACAGCTCAGGAAATCTAAAAACATTTGGATTTTCACTTTAAGATTCTACTTTCTTTCCCAATTGTGTATGAAGTGAACATACTGTTAATATCCAAATCAGAGCATTATGTCAAATGTCCCACCCATCCCCATTGTTCTGATCACATCAGTGGGCAAGCTAGATCTGTCTTTATAGGGGGCTGAACGTCAGACAGAATGCAAGGCATCTGTTACTCATCAGAATGTTTCCAGGATTTAACATGTTGTCATTAATTTCTGACCTACATTTTATTTATTTAGGATGAGGACACTTTAATTCTTATATGTTGTATATACCAAATGCTAGATGTAAAAGACAATACTTTTTCAGTTAAAACACATGCTATAATTATAAAGTGTAAAAGATAGAAATACATAAAGAAAATAAAAAGTTATATAATTCCTGTACTCTGAGATAATTAAAGTTTGTATTTGGAGTATAATTTATAATTTTAGTCTTTTGTGTTATATGTACAACTGCATTTATGCACCAAGTTAGAATTATATACTACATATTTTCTTTGAAAAGAAGTACATCAAGGACACATTTTAACCTTCTCAATTATTGTTTTCAAACTTGTTAAAAAAAAGATTTTGAGCCTGGAAACCTTCAAACATATATAAAAACACAGAACATGGCAATAACCCTTTAGGTACCTATTACCCCGGCCCAACACCTGCCACAGAGCTATTTTGAAGCGACTTTCAGCTATCACATTACTTCCTCCATAAATATATAGCCTGGATTGACAAAAGATAAGGACCTCTTTCTCCCCCCTCATCAATTGGTAATTTTGAAATTAAATTGTAGCATAATCAAGAGGCTATATGACAAGAGTGATAAAATTATTAATGCAGATTAAGCATAAACTAGGTGGAATTTGTAAAATCTCACATTGAAAAATAATCTGAATGATGTTATATAGTTTTGTGGGGTTTTTTGTTTGTTCCTTTTTTCTTATGCATTCATCTGTGTTTTTCTTCAACTTTTAAGTTCTGGGGTACATGTGCAGGATATACAGGTTTGTCACATAGGTAACCATGTGCCACGGTGGTTTGCTGCACAGATCAACTCACCACCCAAGTATTAAGCCCGGCATCCATTAGCTTTTCTTCCTGTTGCTGTCCTTACCCCCACCCTGCTGACAGGCCCCAATGTGTGTTGTTCTCCCCTTACGTCCATGAGTTCTCATAGTTCACCTCCCACTTGTAAGTGAGAACATGTGGTGTTTGGTTTTTTGTTCCTGTGTTAGTTTGCTGTGGATGGTGGCTTCCAACTCCATCCATGTCCCTGCAAAAAAGATGATCTCGTTCCTTTATATGCCTGCATAGTATTCCATGGTGCATATGTACAACATTTTATTTATCCATTTTATTTTACTGATGGGCATTTGGGTTGATTCCATCTCTTTGGTATTGTGAATAGTGCTACAATGAACATAGACATGCATGTATTTTTATAATAGAACAATTTATATTCCTTTGGGTATACACCCAGTAATGGGATTGCTGAGTCAAATGATATTTCTGCCTCTAGGTCTTTGAGGAATCACCACACTGTCTTCCACAATGGCTGAACTAATTTACACTGCCACCAACAATGTAAAAATGTTCTTTCTTTACTGCAACGTTGCCAGCATCTGTTGTTTTTGGACTTTTTAATAATTGTCATTCTGACTGACACAAGATGGTATCTCATTGTGGTTTTGATTTGCATTTCTCTAATGATCAGTGATGTTGAGCTTTTTTTTAAAATGTATGCTTGTTGGCCACATGAATGTCTTCTTTTGATGAGTGTCTGTTCATGTTTTTTGTACACTTTTTAATGTTTTTTTTTGTTTTTTTTTTTTAATTTCTTTAAGTTCCCAATAGACTCTGGATATTAGACTCTTGCCAGATGGACAAGGGTCTAATGTAAAAATGTTCTTCTATTCTGTAGGTCTGTTCTCTCTGATGATACTTTCTTTTGCTGTGCAGAAGCTCTTCAGTTTAACTAGAACCCATTTATCAATTTTTGCTTTTGTTGCAATTGCTTTTGGCATTTTCGTCATGAAATCTTTGAGATAAGGGCTTCTTTTATTAAATACATACTCACAATGTCATTATCTCTCCTAAAAAAATAATTCCTCACTATCATGAAACATTTAGTAGTGGTTCAATTTTACAAAGTTGACTCATAATTTTTGTTTCTTGTGTTAGAAAATGTTTTCTAGATACTAGGGGTGTTCTTTGCTACTGGGATTTTTCATTGTTACTAGTCTTCTCATTAGACAGAGCAAGGGACAATGTATTAGGTCAATCTATATGAAATTGTCTTGTTAATAGTTAAAGTGATTTGATATTGGCAATTTTACTTGGTTTAACTTATTTTTAGGACAGAACACATTATAAATTGCAACTGACATATCTCAGTGAGTTCACTTGACTTCATTGGTCTTGGCAGTCTGAAAATACTTCCCTGTAGATATCTGATAAGGCTATTTTTCTCATAGCCTTTCTTCTCTTAAGGGATATTTTTGGTTTGGAACCGCATTCATTCATCCAGTGGTTGCATCATAGTCCATCACTTACACATATCATAATTTATTTATCCATTTCTTTTACCTGTATATTTTCATTCCAATATTTCTCTATTGTAAATGTGGCAGTGGGGAACACACTCACATTTGAATCTTTGTTGTAAATCTTATTATTTCTTTAGAATAAGTTTCTAAAATATGAAACCTCTGGGTCCAAGGGGTAGAACCCCTTTTAAGGCTTTTATTCTTACTTTTAATGGCATAAAAACAGCAATTACTTTTGTACCAGTGTAATACATTTTGCCAAATTGCTTTCTCCCCTTACTCCCATTGCTGTCCCCGTTAGCTTTTTCATTTAATTCTCTATTCCTAGCTATTTGGATATTTCTAGTTTTTACTTTTACATTTGCATATTAATACTTATGCTATTTATACTAATAATATTTAAAAGCATGAACTATTTGTAAGTAAATTAGAGTTTATTTTCTTTCATAACCATGCATGACATTCCTACAACTAATTCAGATTAAGGGCCTGTCTTAAAAATGCTATTGATTTCTTCTTCACAACAATGCCCTTATGTCTCTCCACTGCTGCCAGGTAATTTGTGGGGCTGAAAACAATTTGAAGGCTAGGATTCTAGGCTCTGAGGGAATGTCTTGTTTTGTGCATATAGATTTATGTACGTGTATATGTATGTGTGTGTGTGTGTGTGTTTGTGCATGCGTATGTGTATAAATGGACATAGATATATTACAAAATATTTAACTTATTAAATAAGTATGAACAGATGAATTAAACAATATCAACTAGATTAAAAGATGACAGTAACAAAAACTTCTAAGTATTAAATATGTTGAGCTATGCCTAAGTTATTTTGAGTTAAATAAATCTGACCTTTTCTTATTTTAAGAAGTTTTAAGAAATCAAGACTCTCATATTAACTCCAATTCTGTACTGTGAAACTGATTGTCCGTCTTCGGGAAGCCGAGCATTGTACTAGGTGAGTTTACATAGTTTACAACATTTCTTACTCAGTTGCTAAAGCTATAGCGTTTTGATCACCTGGTCTGATTCGCCTTTGTTTTGCACATTAGCCATTTTCAGTAGCTGCACCTTTCCTTTCTCATCTTTTTTGGTGTCTTTCAATGACCCCCTACATATGGCTGAGGCAATTCTCACCCTGAAACAGATGGCACTGCTCAATCCATGTGCTCTCTAGCTCCTCTTTGCCATTTATCATAGAAACACATCACTAAAGCTTTAGTCAACACACCTGGGGTGTTAATGTGCAAAGAAAGGAATAGTCTGAATCTGTTCAGGCCAGACAATGCATTGCATAGGTTAGATATAGTCAAATTACTTAAAAGAACAGTTACGATGTATGTTTTTGGAGAGGGACAGATTCCTTACCCCTGGCAAGCATTCTCATATGCCCTTTCTTTGCTTGGGAGATGGAGAGGAGAAGGTCAGTGACTAATGTCTCACAGGTGCACATGTTAGTATTCCTCACCAGGCAACTTAATCCTACCTCATCTGAATTCTGCCAGGGGTCTGAATATTTTATTCAGTGCTGATGGCTTTTCCCATTGGTGAAAGGAAAGTCAAGTCGCCAAGCAATTTGAGGAGATTAAAGAAAATAGAACACTTCTTTAGAAATGTGCCTTTACTTCTTATTTAGTTTGAACCCAGTGGCAAGAGAAAAAGAATAAAGTCTTGTCTTGGAGCTGTTGATAATGCAGCAAGAGTGACAGTCCCATTGAAGGGGAGAGGGTATTTTTCACAGTTACAAGGTGGAGTGTGTGGATCTGGCTGTGAGGCGGGCCTCGTGGTGAATCAGTCATTTCTGGCCTGATAGGAGGATGAGGAAAGAAAATGGGTCTCTGACATCCAACTCATGTTGCTGATGGCAGTGATAAATGAAGGAAATAAGTGCTCTCCGAATCAGACTGCCTGAGTGGAGAAAAGGCACAGTAATAAAGATTGGAGATATCTTTCACCAGAGCTGCTGTGAGCTCTCCCTGCAGTATATTACCTCTTCCATTCATCACATTAAATCCAGAGAGCAGTGGGAACACATAACTGCTCATTTTTATCACCTTGAGATATACAGGCTGTGATCTTAACTTTAATTAACTGACTCGAAGTAAATTTATTTAGAGTTGCTTCTCAAGGCCAAATAAGGGGAGGTCATTTGGCCCCGTACAGCCAGCTCACGGCTGAGATGGCCAACTTCTCTGCACCAGTGACCATTTGGTGCATGTGCGTAGGTTTTTATTTTCTAGATAACAGAGGGGTCAGCAGAAGAGGCTTCTAGGAAGACCCTGGTCTCTCCATGTCCAAAAAGTTGGGAGGAAGAGAACTCAGCTTCACCTTACTGAAGACCTTCACAGCCCCAGAGGAAATGCAGACTCTTCCCTTTATAAATTATGGGGAGGGGTAGGTGGTGCAGGAGGTATGCTGCAGAGCCAGGTCTCTCCATGCCCAGCCTGTCGTTTCAGACTCATCTCCTTCCAGCCTTTGTATACTATACAAACTCTGTGCAGTTTGTACAGTATAACTTTGAAAGCTTTGAAAGCTTCCATCTCTCTGGCTTTCATGCTTTGCACATGTTCCTTTTTTGTGTATTTGCCTGCTTTCTGGGCCTCACCAACTCCTATGAAGCTTTAGAGGCATATCTGTGTCATTGTGGACCATCAGTGTCATTGCTTCTCTCAACTCACAAGGCAAGAATCTGCACAGAGGAAGAAAATTGTCTGCCTGGGTCTCTACTGTGTCTGCAGCAGCCCCTGAAATAGCTTATATAGAGTGGGTGAGACAAACCTTTGTGAAGAGGGAAGAGGGAGCTGAGCTGTCATCGGCCATGATCCCTCTCTTCTGCTCCATCCATATGACAGCCCTAGTCTTCATTTGTTTATTTTCATATATAATGTCTGTTTAATTCATGTATATCTCAGCTTTATTGACATAGAATTTATCTGCCATACAATTCTATTATTGACATAGAATTTATCTACCACACAATTCACCAATTTAAAGAGGATGATTCAATGGTTTTTAGTATATTCACAGAGCTGTGAAACCATCACCACAATTTTAGAACATTTTCATCAATGAAACTCCAAACACATTAGGAGTTAATACACATTTAGGTTCATTCGATTCAGTATTCCATTTCAAACCAATAAGAAACCGCTGTACCCCTCAGCAACCTTCCTTTTTCTCCTCCAGGCCCCTGCAGCCACTAATCTATTTTCTGTCTCTGTTGCACAGTTGTCCATATTAAGTATTGCACATAAATGGAATTAGAAAAAAAAGGTGGCCTTTTGTGTCTGAATTTTTTCACTTGGCACCATGTTGTCAAGGTTCACCATATTGTATCTATTAATTCTTTATTTCTTTTTTATTTCCATGTAGTATTTCATTGTATGGATACACCCCATTTTATTTTTCCATTCATCAGTTGATGGGCCCTGACCCAGATGCTTAATACAGCTCTAGTTTCATCTCCTCAAGGAGGCATTCCTGGCTCACTTCTGTCACGGAATTGTAGAAATTCTCTTTCTTTGTCCCACACTTGAGTGAAATGCCTGACATTTTTGCGTCCCTTCCACTTTGCACCATCCTGAATTGGTGTTGCCCCCTTCCAACTGTCCTTCTGGGGGATTTTTAAACATTGGCATAACACCTATATTATCATTGATATTGAGAGATTAATAAAATGAAGAAAAAGTCAAGAATATTTAATAAACATCCACGTGGCTTCCACCACGATTGCTAGCATTTTCTTCAAGTTTC